GAGGCTCTGCAAAGCTGTGTGACGTTTCTCCTTGGGAGGTCTGTGGTGAAGCTTGTCACTTCAGGACTCTTAGCCATGCAGGACCCCTCCTCACCCAAAGGCAGCTCCCGGGGTCCTGAGAGGTGAGTCCCCGGAGCCTTCCACCTCGGGGTCTCCTGCGTGCAGCGGTCAGACGGGGTTGGGCTGGTAGAGGGGCAGTAGGACTCACAGGCTCTTGCAGCCCCAAGTCTGAGTCCACTTGTGGGCCTCCTTCTTGATCTTTCTTCAGAGTGAAATTTCCCACTGACCAGGAAACAGCTGTAGCTGAGAGTGGGTTTTTTAAAAAATATATTTTTATTGATTTTTCACAGAGAGGAAGGGAGAGGGATAGAGAGTTAGAAACATCGATGAGAGAGAAACATCGGTCAGCTGCCTCCTGCACGCCCCCTACTGGGGATGTGCCCGCAACCAAGGTACATGCCCTTGACCGGAATCGAACCTGGGACCTTTCAGTCCGCAGGCCGATGCTCTATCCACTGAGCCAAACTGGTTAGGGCTGGGAGTGGGTTTTTTTTAACAATATATTTTTATTGATTTCAGAGAGAGGAAGGGAGAGGGAAAGAGAGAAACATCAGTGATGAGAGAGAATCATTGATCCGCTGTCTCCTGCACGCCCCCTTCTGGGGATGGAGCCCGCAATCTGGGCATGTGCTCTGACTGGGAATCGAACTGTGACCCCCTGGTTGATAGGTCAATGCTCAACCACTGAGCCACACCGGCCGGGGAGCAGGGAGTGTTTTTAACCAGGGATATCTCAAAAGTTACCCTTGGCTGTGTATTAGCATCCTGGAGCTGCTGTAACAAAGGAGCACAAACTGAGTGGCTCAGAGGAAGGGACACTTGTCTCAGCAGCTGGAGGCTGAAAGTCCAAAGCCAAGGTGTGGGCGGGGCCACACTCCCTCTGGAGCTCCCAGGGGGATCCTTCCTCACCTCTTTTACTGGGTTCAAAGCTCTATCACACCAGTCCCTGCCTTTGTCATCACACGTGACCTCCCTGTGTGTCTCCGTGACTTCACACGGTGTCTTCTAATAAAGACCCAGTCCTATGGATTAGGGGCCCACCTACTCCAGAACGACCTCATCCTAATTACATCCGCTGCAATCCTTTTTCCAAAAAGGTCACACTGTGAGGTCCTGGGGCAGTGATTCCCAAAGTGGGCCCTACCGCCCCCTGGTGGGCGCTGCAGCGATCCAGGGGGGCGGTGATGGCCACAGGTGCATTTGTTTGAACTTTTTTTGTATTACCTTTCTATTCTGAGTTCAATAAATAGCTTCATAATTTCAAACTTCAATGTTTCTAATTTACACCTTTCTTTACTATATTTTACGAAAAAGGTAGAAACATGAATACATATATCTTTCTGTTTAATTGCCATTAAAATTTTAAAAAAAATTAATTTCCAGGGGGCGCTGAGTAATATTTTTTTCTGGAAAGGGGGCGGTAGGCCAAATAAGTTTGGGAACCACTGTCCTGGGGGTTAGGACTTCAGCATATCTTTTGGGGGAGGGGACACAGTGCCACTCGTGCCATGCTGTGTCTTTGCTTTATCCTGTCAGGGACTAAATGACCTCCACCCAGGAGCCCATTCAATCTTACAGCTCCAGCAGCTGCAGTGAAAAATGATGTTAATACTGAGCATTCACACCTTGAAGGCACAACCTCATAATCCTCCCACCGTGGGCTGGGGACAGAAACGTGTCCTCGTCTTTCACAAGCCCTGCGTAGTCACAAGTCCACGGCCCGTCGCCTCAAACTCAGGTGTCAGCATGAAACAGCCAAGGGCTCCTCACCTGTCTTTCCTTGGTTTACCAGATGGGCAAACACGACGAAGCTTGGATGATTCTCAAGAAAGTCCATGACACCAACATGAGAGCTAAGGGGACCCCGGAGAAGGTGTTCACGGTGAGTGGGGGGTCGCCTATGCCAGCAACAGGGGCTTCTCTCCTCTTTTCTGGTTTGGTTTGCTGGAAAATAATGTTGTTATGTAAGCGCAGCCCAGAAAACTTGTCTCTGATGAATAAGACCCCTGACATTCTTATCCTAATAAGTTCTTTGCATTTTGATGGATTTCCTTTTCAGTACCAATAATAATGAAAGATAAAACTAGCTGTGTTCATGAGGGGATAACATAATTGCATGTATTCACAAGTACATGTTACTTAAGAGTTCTCATGAGTATTCTATATGTTATCTCATAGTGTTCATAAGCATGCTTTTAAAAAATATATATTTTATTGCTTTCAGAGAGGAAGGAAGAGGGAGAGAGAAAGAGAGAAAGACCAATGATGACAGAGAATCATTGATTGGCTGCCTCCTGCACAACCCCCACTGGAGATTGAGCCCTCAATCCCGGTGGTCAAGGGCACATGCTCTCTCCACTAAGCCAAACCAGCTAGGGCCATAAGCACGCTTTTTATTTTATCCTCATCTGAGGATTTTTTTTCCATTGATTTTTTTTTTTTTTTTTTTTTAGAGAGAGAGTGGAAGGGACGGGGAGAGATACAGAGAGAGAAACATAGATGTGAGAGAGACACATCAATTGCTTGCCTCCCACATGTACCCCGACCAGGCTGGGGATGGGGCCTGCAACCGAGGTACGTGCCCTTGACCAGAATCGGAACCCAGAATCAGTCCATGGGCCAATGCTCTAATCACTGAGCAAAACTGGCTAGGGCTGTTCTGTCGTGTTTTTAAAATGTCCTACATAGCAAACCCCATTTCCCCCATTACACACACACACACACACACACACTATTGCCTACATGCGTTCTAGAATTCTGTGATGTTAATAACCATTGAGGATAAACTTGTGAATTTTAAGGTAGAGTCAACCCTACTGTGGGAAAATCAGATATACATGGGAATTTAGTGAATTATTACCCATTAATTTCAAGGCTTGACTGAGGGATACGACCGATTCATTTTTGTCTGCAGTGGGGTAAATATCCCAAAGAAATGCTGTGTACATCTTTGGTTATAATGTGCACTATTAACCGGTACACCAAGTGTGCATTATTAACCAGTACACCAAATGTGCACTACCTGGTATTAACCAGCACACCAAATCCGCATTACTATCCGGTACACCCAATGTGCATTATTAACCGGTACACCTGGTAAGCATCACTGAACTAGAGGGTCGCCACAGGCTCTCTGGCCCTCCATACGTTAATAAAGTCACCTCCATAAAACTACAAATGGAAAAGTCT